CCGGCAGCCCCGCGGGGGCGCCAGCCATGGAGGAACCGGGGTCCTGGCCCCTCCCCCGGGAGGCGGGGGAGGGGCCAGGACGCCGGTTCCTCCGCGGCAGGGCGTGCAGCGCCGAGCACCGCTACCGGAGCCGGGAGGTTCGCGGTAACGGGGACCGGGATGGGGCGGAGAGGGCTTGGCCGTGGACCGGGATGCGGGAGGGGGACGACGGTGCACGGGGGGCACAGGGACAGCCACACTCGGGGAATGTGGGGACCGGTGGGACACGGGGACGGACGTGCACTGGGATGCCAGGCTTGGGATGTGGGGACAGCTGGGACATGGGGACAGTGGTACCCCGGGACGTGGGGATGGCTGGGACATGGGGACGGCTGTGCCCCGGGGTGTAGGGACAGCCACGCCTGGGGACGTGGGGATGGCCGGGATGTGGGATGGCCGTGCCCTGGGATGGCACACTTGGGATGTGGGGACGGTCTGGACAAGGGGACAGCCATGCACAGGGATATGGGGGTAGCTGGGACATGGGGACAGCTGGAACATGGGGACAGCTGGGACATGGGGACAGCCACACCTGGGGATCTCGGGGTGGCTGGGACACAGGGACAGCCATGCTGGGGGACATAGGAACAGCCAAGACATGGGGACAGCTGTGTCCCAGGGATGTGGAGACAATCAGGATAAGGGGACAGCCCCGCTTGGGGACAGAGGGACAGCCGTATTCCAGGATGCTGTGCATGGGGACGTGGGGACAGCTGGGACACGGGGACATTGCCGCTCCCTGCTCCCTCCGTTCCCAGGTCTCGCGGTGGCCCTCGGCCCGTCCCCGCTCCCCCCGGCCACCCAGCCCACCGCGGCAGCCCCGCGGGACGATGAACATGCTGGCTCCGGTCCGCAGGGACAGGGTCATCACCGACCTGCCCCCGGTGAGTTGGGGGGACACTGACCCGGTGGCAGCCTCGCTGAGCCCCGTGGTCACACTGGGGTCCCCCTTTGTCCTCCCGACAGTGTTTTCGGAAGGAGGCCGCCCTGCACGCCCGCCCCGCCTTCCACCCCACGGTGGCCAGTGCCTGCCAGGAGCAGCGGACGGGCACTGTGGGGTGAGTCCAGGGCGATTCGGGGGCCCCACACAGGGCGGGGGGCGATGGGGGACAGGGGGCCC